GCAATCTAGTAGAGAAAGAAGGCTGTAGTTAAAGGGTACAAGGTTCCTGTAGTAATCAATTTACAGTAGGTGTTTTGGCCAAGGACATAGAAAAGTGCATAATTTTGTATCTGATGTTTTGTTTTTCAGGCGAATGGCAGTGGGAATCCATTGATGGCAGTGTACATGTACCAGTGCCCCCTCCCTCCGTTTCTTCATTTGTGCACCAGTTTGACTTGTGTGTAACAGGGGAGGGCCTAGCCAGGCTCACCTGTGACCCCCGGCTATTCCACACCCTCTTGCCTCACATAAGAGTGTTTGCCCGTGTCAGCCCAAAACAGAAGGTAGGTCCTAAAGCATACTCTCCTTTTCTGGGTACCATTTTGTGGCATGATCATGTTTTCTCCTACATCTAGGGATAACTGGTTTAACATATTCAACATGACATTTTTGTTGAGGTTTATAAACCACAGCTGCAATGGAGTTAGCTAAATATGTTTCTGCTGTCAGTCACAGACAACAATAGTTGATGTAGATGTCGTGGCTTAGTCAAAGAGCAAAGACATCATTGTTCACCAGTCACACAGTGAAAGCCATCACAGACAAAGCAGAGTTTAGACAGATAGCATTCTCAGAGGTCTACAATACAGTGCAGACATAAGACATGCGTTTTATCTAGTGGACACCACTCATTTTGTCTGACAGGTATATTTCTCTGGATGCTGTTAAGGCATTTAGGGAAATCAGTATTTTGAGTATGACAGATTAATGGCAATAATTATAATGATAAAAATGCATCTAAGGGTGAACTTCAAGGATGTTTTGATTTTGGAAAGTGATAAACCATAAAGATGGTTGTCTATTGCATTTCAGGAATTTGTGATCACTAGTCTAAAGGGCCTGGGTTATGTGACACTAATGTGCGGTGATGGTACAAATGATGTCGGAGCTCTCAAACATGCCCACATAGGTAAGATTTATCAACCACTGAGACTTGCAGCCTGTGGGACTCTAACAGTGTGAAGTGATTGTAGTATTGTTTTCCCTCAGGTGTTGCTCTGTTAGCCAATGCCCCTGAACGTGTACCTGAAAAAAAGAAACGAGTAAGAGACAAGGAGGTGTCCACAACAGAATCAAGACCTTTGCCACCTGTTAGTTCAGGAGGCAAATTGAGCTCCAGGGCAGCCAGACAGAGGGTGATGGCCCAGAGAGAGGAGCAGCTTGCAGCGCAAAAGGTATATTTCTTCAGGAAGAACCTCCTAGCTGACTCTTCAGGGAGTAATTTCCCAAAAACTTCAGTTCTGTTCTCTTTTTTTCCTTTTAATATGGCAGTTGAAACTCATTTATGTTCATAGGTCATAGGTATTATAGATGTTAACAAAACCATCTTTTAGTAGCTTACAAAAGAGAATAAATCTGCCTGTCATTGAAATTATAGCGTTGTGGAGCGCTGGTCTAAATGTCAGGGTTTATTCTGTAACAGGAGAGGATCAGTCAGGTTTTACGGGAACTTGAAGAGGATCAGGTACAAGTAGTGAAACTGGGTGATGCTTCCATAGCAGCCCCTTTCACTTCCAAACTCTCCTCTATACAGTGCAGTGAGTAACGCACATTTGTAATTTCATCTCTTGACAAAGTTGGCAAATATCCAAACATAAAAGCTGTTTTCCACTTCTGAAATATGTCACTCTGTCTTTGGCCCCAGTCTGCCATGTAATAAAGCAAGGCCGTTGTACTCTGGTGACAACGCTCCAGATGTTCAAGATTCTTGCTCTTAATGCCCTGGTATTGGCCTACAGCCAGTCTGTACTCTACCTCGAAGGGGTGAAGTTCAGCGACTTCCAGGCAACTCTGCAGGGCCTGCTGCTGGCCGGATGCTTCCTCTTCATCTCTAGATCAAAGGTGAGAATTTATGCAACGAAACAGAGGCTCTGTATGATTATACAGTGATTAGTTTATCTCCTGTTTTTCATAACCAAATAAGAATCTTTTTTTCCTCCTGTTTGCACAGCCACTGAAAACACTGTCTCGAGAGCGGCCCTTACCAAACATCTTCAATCTTTATACAGTGTTGACTGTGCTGCTTCAGTTTGCTGTTCATTTCTGTAGCCTGGTGTACCTTTACAGAGAGGCACAAAACAGAAGTCCACCCAGGTAAATTACAGAAAGATGGAAAGCAGGAGAATGACAAAGTAAAGTGCAGTAATTCTATACAAGTTTAATATTTACTTTAATACTTTATAATAATGTTCCACTTGTCCTTTTTGTCTTGCAGACTGGAGCGGTTTGTAGATCTGTACAAAGAGTTTGAACCCAGTCTAATTAACAGCACTGTGTATATAATGTCCATGGCCATGCAGATGGCCACTTTTGCCATTAACTACAAGGTACTTATTTGTAATGCCATTATTATTTGTTGTCTCTGCCTTCTTTATAGTGTAATAGATTTACAGCATTTCTCGTTGTAATGGATAGGGTCACCCCTTCATGGAGTCTCTCAGAGAAAATCGTCCACTACTATGGAGTATCGCTCTGTCAGGTTTAGCGATTGTGGGACTTCTTACTGGTTCCTCACCAGAATTCAATGATCAGTTTGCTCTTGTAGACATTCCAACTGAGGTGAGCTGACATTATTTCACTATCCTGTTTAATAGAATTGTAATAATGATGCACCTTGTGATGTCACCAGCCTTCTGTTTTCCTTGCAGTTCAAACTGATTATTGCCCAGGTACTGGTGGTGGACTTTGTCGCCGCTCTGTTGGTCGACCGGGTCCTGCAGTTCCTGCTGGGCAAAGGAACTCTCAGGCTGCCTTCTTGAACTCTGTGCCAACCGCTGCCCTTAGCAACCAAACTATAAAGGGAGAGAAGACTTTGGAGGAGGAAGAGAATTAAAGCTGTTGTGATATACACGAGACAGCTGAGACAGTCATGGCGTGCAGTACTGTACACTCCGTGTATCCCTTCCTTCCTCTGCCTCACTTAAATCATTTGTTTCTATTTTCATCAGCTCTGTATTTCAGTTGTTTCTGTTTTCTTCAGAACTTTTTTTTTTATACATTCTCTCTCTCTTCATCTCTCCCGCCCCACTGCTACAAAAGGCCATGAAGACAGCAGTATTGAATGGAGTGTGAGACTGTGCTGCCCAGAGTGAAACATACAGGCACACAAAAGGGGCATTCTCTAAGAGAATTGCAAAAGTGTTTTTGATTTTGTTCGATTCCTCTCCTTGATTTTGTAAAAAGTGAAAAACATCTCTAACAGACTTATAAAGACTTACAGATACAAATTATGAAGTCTGTCAAGTGTTTTGTGAATACAAGTGCTGATGTGTCTATGCACGGAAAGGAAGAACATGTCCAGCTGGTCATGAACTGTTCTATTCATAGAAATAGGTAAGTCAAGAATGATCAGCGTATAAGAAAACAGTGCAGCTGTACACAAGACACTCATCTAATGAAACATTTTGCCACATGAGACACATGACACTGTTCAAAAAATGTGCAATCTCATTAAGATGATCACAGAAAAGACTGAAAACAGCCTGTGAGCTAAGAGTTTATTTACCATCTGATATTAACTGCCACATATGCTGATCTTGTGTGATCAGTGAACGTTTTGCTGTTTGTATTTTAAATTGCCTTACCACAAACTTACCAAATTACAGCAACATAAAAAGTGCTTTTTCCTTAAAAAATCCAATCCCTTGCATTTTAAATCAGGTACTGTACTAAGTATTCAAGAACTAGAAACCTTGACATCCAAAGTGTTAATAATTCTGTCTTTTTCTCAGTGATGTAATCACACAAATTACACCAGGCTACTAATGATGTGTTGAACACACAAAGATTTCTGGAAACATAATATACTGTACGTGCAGTAGAGTCAAAAGAATTTCATGTCCGAGTAGTTTTATGAGAAACTGACTATCCAGGCACATCAACAACTGTGGCCTGTTTTTCTTGTTAGTAAATAGAAAAAGGCTACTGACTGACTAAAAACTGAAAAAGCTTCTTCAAACACTCAAATGGAGCAAACATGGACTTTTACTAGAACTAGTGATATGATTATATATGTTCATATGGTAGCATCTCACATTCAGGGGTCAGGAAACATCCCATCATGGATGTATAAAATAGGGTCTTTCTCAGGGGAATGCTGGAGTCATAGGCTAATGTTGTAAATCAGAGGATGTACAAAGAGCGAGCATAGTAACTGAAATGATGAGAAAATAGTACTCATAATTTCAATCTCAGTGGAAGACTTGATTTTAACCTAATGGAGGAACACTTTAGGGGTCCCAGTATACTGAACCGAAATTAGATGCACTTGGGAAATACCTTGATGGAGGTCAATTGGTTGAGCACATCTTGAACTCTGGAGGCCAAACCACCAGAAAACTCCTAAGCCAGATATCAAAAATTCACCCAGTGTGTACAAAGAGGATCAGGGCCAGGATTGGCCCTTTGAACCAGCAAATCAATGCCTGCTTGCTCTTATCTCGATCAAGAAGGGATCAGAAGTAGAGTACCACCACAGGCCACCTCACTTAACTCTGTCATTAGCCTACATTTAATTATCTAAAGTAGTCAATTACTAAGTTGTTAAATGTGTTTAAGAACATTACTGGCTATTGTATTATTTTTCCACTTTGTGGCCTTAAATTGGTACAATCCTAAAGCCTCTAACTTGTTTTTCTTTGTGTATATTTTTAAAGTGAACATGCTGCCATGCACATCCTCTAATTAAAGTGTCACATAACCAAGACTTCAGAAGATCTGTGACAAATCACACAACTCCCAATGGGTGACAGGCATCTACAGAAAGTTTTATGTAGGTTTCTTTCATCTGTCTTTCCAGAAAGCACATGGTAGAGAGATTTCTAATATACATTCTAAGAAAACGTTTATTTATTGTTGCACCTGAAGTAAAATTGGAACATACTCTGATTGAGATACGACAATTTTTAAATTTTCAACATAAGGCTCTTGTATTTGCTTTGTAGTTTTCAATTGCACTACATTTCCCATGATGCTTAGTTTAGAAGAGGCGCTTGGCTTGTTTGGGCGCGTGAAGAAAAGCATTTGAACAAAAAAAATGGCGGAAAAACATTCCGAAAATGGACAAGACGGGTTTGTACCTTTTTATCTACCGTGACGACACCCGACTTAACATTTAAAGCTTGTGCTGTAGTGAGAAAATACATAAACGGTAAAAGCTTTTTTTCAACTAAATAAGTAAAATAAAGTATTTCTGTGGTCTGAAGTTTTTCTCCTCCGCTGTCGCCAAGTGCTTGCTCAAGGGGCATTTGTTGGGTTTTTCCTCTGTAATAATAATAATAACAACAGTAAGGTCTAGACCTTACTTTGTGAGTGTTCGGAGACCGCTTTTGCTGTGATTTGACGCTATACAAATAAAACTGAGTTGAAATGAAGTGTTTAACCTATGTGATAAGCGTGTTAGCGAAACACCGTTTTAACGTTAGTGTTTATCAAAGATTTAAAACATGGTATTTCACTGTACTGTTTTCTCTATATGGAACATTAATAGTAGCTTGAAAATTAACAGAAAATAATATATTGCAGTTGCGGAAGTGCTGCCGTTGCTGATACCCAAAACGAGGTAATGAGGCTACATTTTACGGACATTTACGGTAGCTAGCAAACCTAACAATCTCCGCTAATGAGGTACTCCTGCTACAGTGGTTCACCGCTACGTTGTTCATTTTCTGTGTTCCAAGGTGAACCCAGTGAAGCGGTCACTGAAAAGATGCTCTTCCACAAGCCCCGGTACAGCTCCCGCTTGCAAATCTCCCCGTTCCGACTCCCTATCATCCACCACACAGACGCCGGAAACAGGGGATGCACATTCAGAGACAGACAAACAAGAAATGCAGACAGAAAGCGCGGAGGGACCTTTGAGTCCCTCTGTCTGCCCCAATGCACGGAGAAAATCCTGGAGGAGAGCTACCATAACCCGACGCTCTCTCCCTATCCTTCCAAACCAATATCAGGGTGAGATGCTTTGCCCCTTTGTAAAGAAGACTTAAAGGTATTTGTGTTTTGCGGTATAAATGCCTATTTATGTTTATTATAGTTCTGTGCAGAAGCATAAGTACATCGTTGTCCCAGCAAGAGAGATTCAAGGAATTGTTGGAGGCTTCAATGACTGTGAGTATGTTAGGTTCATAAGTATAGCAGTAAAATAACCACGACAAAATGAAAATGTGAAAAATTAAATACGCTGCCAGAGTATGTTACTTTTCAAGTCACTGGTATTACCTGTTTAATGTGAAGACCTTTTTCACTTGACTAAAAACTTAGTTTAGAAATAGAGTTGATGTTTAACAAATGAATGGACAAACACTCTGTTACTTACAGCATGAAAACATTAATAAGGGGCTACATTTATAGGATTTCAAGGAATAGATGGAAATTTTGCATTGTTGGTAAAGTTATAAGGGCAAAGAATGAGATTTAGTGAAAAATTTAAATTCAGAAATTTAGAGATATCAAATGTTATGGTTTTATTCAGGAGTAACTACCCACTATACATAAGATCTTGTAAAGAAGTACTTACTAGGAGAATGCTAGAACCAGTGAATAGATTGTAAAGTTTTTTCTCCTTAATGATCTGTCACCTCTGCTTTTTCTCTAGCTGGCAATAGAAAGAACACAGAATTCACTCCAGTCAGTGCCGAATACCTCATTGCAGTCTTTTCAAAAACAGGGTTCGTGCTTGTACTGCTTCATTTGGTACAAATTTCATAGAGCTCTGGCTGTCGTACAAGTCTTCACTGTAAATGATATCTTTATGTCTTCTTCTTCCATGGTGCAGTTGAGCACATGAAAGCCTGGAGTTGTCTGGCTAAAAACATAGACAATGAACCAAAGGGTCATCACCTCCCTGCCAGTGCAGACAGGTATTAAAGTTTTCAATAATTTGCATATATTAAATTGATTATTAGTTGTATTTGATTTGCTAACAAATTGATATTTTAGACTGCATTTATGCCTCTGTTATTTTCTTTCAATTCCAGTGATCCTTTTGGGTTGAGTGGTAAGGAAAAAATCCAAAAGGCAATCAACAGGCATGTTTTACTTAATACTGCTAATGCACACACAGGAGTGTTCATACAAACCTTACATTCAAACTTAAAAAAAAACACAGATGGTGTGAACTATCACATGAGGTTCTGTCTTTTTATTCCTGGCCTGTGTTGTGTTTAGGCTCCAAGCTGAAAGTGAATCTTGGAAGGCACTGTTGAACAAACACCAGAGTAAAGCAGAGGAATTGAAAAGGTGAACATGTATACTGTCACTGAGGAATACTGTAGCAATATTGTGCTAGAGTGTGTCAATATTGTCTTCTGTTTTTTGTGTCAGTAATGTGTTCTGTATTTGTTTCAGGAAAGTGGAGCAGGGCCAGGAGAAAGGTGTATCATTAGACTCTACATCACTGGCCCAGTCGTCGCAGTACCTTTTCATACAAAGTAAACCCGACTACCACAGTCTCCTCTGTAGACAGCAGCCCATGCTTCACACAGTGGCAGTGACCGTACGTATGAAAAGTAATTTTTGTCACTACTAGAAATTATTGATTATATTATCAAAATCTAAAATGTTTTAATTACAGCATTGCTTGTATATACAATTTTTATGTTGCTGTATGGTAAAATACTAAAGCTAGAACCAAAAAAAATGCAGGAAAGTGTACTTAGCTGTGAGAGTGATGAAACACAAAATGCAAGCTACCAACTTACAGGTAGCTTAAATACTGTCCACAAGAAATTGGATAAAACTTGCATCATGTGATGTTCAGGAATATTTATAATAGTCCAAAGTGATCAAATAATACACATTCAACCTCTCTTATTGAGCCATCACAATTAATTTGGCTATGTAGGTGAAAAATAGCATTCAGTGTGAGACATAACAATAGCACAACTAGCACTGAAAACAGTTTTTCTGAGTAATAATGTCACACAAGGAGATTATTTTCTGCCAGAGTTGCAACAGTTTTTTTGTTTCACGAGATATTTCTGTAATTGTGTTTTTGTCTGGTGGAGCTCAGTTGAAAAAAAAAACAGCTGATGTCACATATCGCAGTGCTCAAGTCCAGGTTTAGCAACATTTGAATGACAGTGTGATGACAGCTGTGTGCTTATGTTGCCAGCCTGTTCAGACAGTACTGACCAAACTATACCCTTACAGCCCTGATAAAACAGCCTATCTGAATCTTTCACTGTTGTATTTTTAATTCTATGGATGTTTTTTTCTAAACTTAACTCATTGGTGCATGTTTTTGTCACAAATGTTTATTATGAAGATCAAATTTTAAGGGGTTTTAAGTACACTGACTCCTACTGCTTAAATGGCTGCTGCTGTAAAACAGTTCACATATGTGTTGTTTATTTTGATCTGCTTTATTGTGTTATGTACTGAGTTGCTTGTTTCTTATCTGTAGATGGACACTCAGTGTAAGATGGTTAGAGAGCTTCTGTCCGTCATGGAGCAGTCACAGTTATTTGTGAAAGAGACCAGTGGCCAATTGGGTAATGTTTTTATTTGTCTTTCATCTGTTCCATGGAATATTATTGTACTTTCACCAATGATCTGGCAATTTAACATTTAATCTGATTACTTCCTACTTTTGTACCAGCGACAGAGGCAGGATTCCAAGATTTTTCACCTGATCTCATCAGGAACCACATAGCCACTCTAGCAGGGGGCGTACGCAAGCAGTCAACCCTTTAGTCAGTCCTGTATGACTTGTATATGGAATTCATATACGTACTTTCAGTTAATTTTGCTATGTGATTTGGAGACATTAAATTTCTTTTCCTTTTGTTGTCTCTTTTTTACATAAAGTAAACTCCATATATGTTTTCTATGTCAGCAGTGGGATTGGTAATAGAGTTTCAGGTAATCCAAGTTTGACCAGCAGGTGGCAATCGCTGGCTATACAAAATGGTGAGAAACTTGGTGGTGAAGTGCAAGTGTAAATTTTTCTGTTTAACCTTAATTAAATGCATACGATCTACTGCATGCAATTGTTAAGCCCAGACTGTCAGATGTTAGAATTTAAGAAACAGACAGATGTTTCAGAAAACTTTGCCAGCATCCTATGTAGCAAGGTTATTGGTTTTATATTCTTCTATAGCTTGTATACACTCACCTGCCACTTTATTACAATTGTATGCAATTCAGTGCAACAATTCTGCATTAGCATCTGTGTTTATGAAGCTCAGAATGTTTCAGTTTTTGGTTAAATTGTCATCAATGTATAAATCCAATTCTGTGTTTATTATTGAGCCCATAATTAAAGTGGTGTTATACTGGACTGCATTATTTTTTACAGGTGTCTATATTTTTATCCTCCCCAGCCACATACATGAGAGGTTCCAGTGCAACACCACCTTTAACTGTGGTCTCAATAATAAACATAGAACTGGATTTATACATTGATGACAGTTTCACCAAAAACTGGCATTTTGCACTTCATAAACACAAATGTTAAAGCTGAACATGAGGTGTTTCCACTGAAGTGCATATGGTTAGTTGTACAGGTGTACCTAATAAACTGGCTGGTGAGTGTATAATTCAGTCTAATTGTTTCTTGTTTGTCTCACTGGTAATTTGTATAGTGACTGGAATGTTTAATTTCTCAGTGGGGATTACTTTCATTCTTCACAAAATAAATACAAAAAAAACCCCAACTCTTGGATATAACCTGTTAAAAATGATCTTTTATCTTAAACTATTCAAGTGCAATGATCATGTTGGAAACCAAAACTGATTTTGTTTGCAAAAAAAAAAAATACTTGGAAGTCATGGGATGTATTTGATGTGACATTTTCAAGTAGTTTGATTACTAGTATTTTATAAATACCTGCAAAGGCGGTTAAGCCTATTCACAGTGGCAGAATACTTTAGTATACATTGTCATTATCATAAACATATAAAATCTTTTTTATATATATACAAATTTCCATTTGCATCAGGAAAGCATTAAAATAAAAGGATTCTGCTTTGTAGTTTGCCTACAGTGTTCAGTTTATTCAGTCCTTTTGCATGCTCATCTTTAGTCACATTTACTTTCTTTTTGAAGCTGCATCTATTTCACTTCAGTGTCCCCTGACCATTCAGGAGGAGGCCCCTCCCCCACAGTGAATCACCCCCATCTCTTGCATTTGGCTGGGTCACTGATGCAGAACGAAGCTTTGACATTGTACCAGTCAGTCAAAGCTTTGTTTGCTATCACTCCCATCTCATGGACCCATTCACTCATTAATTTTCAAACCCTCTTACCCCATTGCCAGTTGTACATAAGAATGAATGACATTCTGTTCTCTGCAGTTATGATCTCTAACATAGAGTGAATTTTCCTGGTGATTGTATTCAGGAGAGTGACTAGAGAGCACAGGGACAAGCAAAGAGAGGACAAGTGGGGTTGTGACCGGGAGAGTTGTGAGAAAGGAAGCATGGTGCACAGCAGGAGAGATCGATTCTTATTTAGATGAAAATGAGGCTTGATGCTTGTGGGGTGAGAGGAGGGCAGCTTTAGCATCCAAATGAATAGATGTTTCACAGAAATGATCCTTAAATGGATCACCAACAATAAAACATGAAGTTTACCAAAGCCACTGACAGTGATAGACTTTGGGGTTAGGTGGTAACCCTTGCAGCTCTACTCATTTAAAATTGTGTGATAAAGTGTTGCTTCAAACAGCCTCTGTGACCCCATAAAATGGTGTATTAGAAGTTATTCTTTAAGCAATTTGGATGCAATGCATATTTGGATAAACCTGACCTGACTTTGTGGGTTCCTTGTTTACAGACTACTATTAGAAAGAAATGGATGGCTATTTCTCCCCGTTTTGTTTTTGTTTTTCTGTTTATACCCTAAAATTTATAAGAACAGGCCTTTGTTTGTGGTAGGGACAACTTTCTTAACGGGTTAAATTCCACTGCTGGGCATAATCACCAACATGGCTGAATTGTGGCATGTATCCTGTGCACATGCAAAGAACAATTACTGTTTAGATTTACTGTATTCTCTGTTCTAGTTGTCTAACTTTAGATTGATTAGCTACAGATTGTAGTAGATGGATGTGTGGAGAGTCAGCATAAACCACTGCCAGTTTGGTCCTACTCCCTCTTGCACACCCATCATCTCTTCTCTGTACAGTGAGGCAGCTGCAGCTCTCCTCCACATCCATTCAGCCAGCCATTCGTCTTGGAAAGCTGTCTCTCTGATCTGAGTGATAAACTATAGCAGAATCGCCCAGTTTGCAAAAAACAAGGACACTTGTTTTCAATCTGTGCTGTCAACATTTTCATACTGAAAACTGATGGGATGTTTCATTCATGGGGGTTTAGGACAGAATGGTATTCTTAGGTTGGACCATTTTGAGATTGAATATTGCTCTTGAAATTGCCATGTGTACCCACACAACAGATATCAGTGCACTGACATTTAGGCACTACTTACTAGAAACCAAATCAGGTTTTAATATTTATTTTTTCTGTTCAACACACTTACACATGAGTAGTGGCTTTTTTGATTCATACACCTATGTATTGCTCAAACAAACCTTTGAGACATAGGTATGTTCAGTGGCAGATGCTTAATCACCTGAGTTATTATTGCACTGTGTTTTCTAATGTTTACAGCTCTGTGTACAGCTACAGTGCCCTTAGAAATTACAGCTGTGTTTATACATAGTCCTGCATTTCAAGGCACCATTAGGAGATGGCTTCACAGGTGTTTGTCTTTCCTCTACTCTTTCGATCACCTTGGAAACTGCTGCTGCTGTTTATATATATGAGGAGCAAAGCTGTGCCAGTGTAAGTCAAATAATCATTAACAAACTGAGAAACAAGAATAAAAGATTAGAGACATAGGCCAAACTTCAGGCTTACCAAAATCTACTGTTGGGAACATAATTATGAATATAGAGGGAGCTGGTGAGCTTAATAATCACAAAGGGGCTGGCAGGCCAAGGAAGACAGAGGACAGAAAAATTTTCTTGATAATAACAAAACATTCCCAAACACCTGTCCACCACAGATCAAAAACACTTCAGCAGACCAGGCGTGAATTTGCTAGTGACAACTCTCTGCAGAAGACTAAATGAAAATACATTCAAAGGCTACCCTGCAAGTTACAAACCCCTGATTAACTGTAAAAACAATGACCTGGCTAAAGTTTGCAAGTAAGTACTTGAAACAGCTATTATAGTTCTAGAAAAGGGTCTTGTGGACAAATTAAACAAAGAAAAACTTTGAATCATGGTAAGTAGGAAGAGAGAAAGAACTGCCCAAGATCCACCACCTCATATGTGAAACATGGTGGTGCAGGTATTATGGCTTGGGTAGGGCTGCTACAGGAAGTGACTCACTTACCATAATTGATGATATAACTGCTGATTGTAGTGGCAAAATGAATTGTAAAGTGTATGGATACATCCTAATTGTTTAAGTTCAAAATACCTCAAAACTCATATTCTGGAGGTTCATTCTGCAGCAAGGCAATGAGCTCAAACATACTGCTAATGCAACAAAAGAGTTTTTCAAAGCTAAAAAACTTGATAGGTCTTGAGTGGCTGAGTCAACCATCCTGTCTGAACCAAACCAAGCATGCCTTTCATATGCTGAATAGAAAGCTTAAGGGGATGCGCACCCAAAACAAGCATGAGCCAAAGATGGTTGTGGTACAGGCCTGGCAGAGCATCACGAGAAATGATACCTCACATCTGGAGATGATTATGAATTGCAAACTCCAAGCATTCACTGCATGCAAAGAAGATGAAAAAAGTACTAAATATGACTACTTTCAATCTACAGAACATTGGAGTGTCCTAAACATTGTGTGCTGAAACAGAGTTACTATGTATAAATGCTGCTGTAATTTATATCAAAGTGTATTAAAATACGCTTTAATAAAATCTGAGAATGTACACTTTAACCAGATTCTCAGGTTGTAATTTTGTAATCACATTGTTATTGTGATCAGATTGTATTTTTATTAAAAATATGAAATTATGAAATACAGAAGTAAATAAATAGCCTAAATGGTGGGTCTTTGTCCATAATATTTTGGAGGGCACTATAGTTCTAAGCTCCAAAAGAGCACGATCTCATTATTCCTAATATCTAAAGATATTTATTTCCATTTTTGTTTAGAAAATAATCTTTTTACGTAGGCTAGGCTAGGTGAGCTCACCTTATATTGATGAAAAATGCTTTAACTGATTATAATAGGACACGGAGTGCTGATGACGTAAGGGGCTATCCATTTGTAAAGGCCGTGCACGAAGAGTCATCCAGAGGAAAAATTCTGTCACAGGGTCTGGACCTCAGTGTTGTAAAATTACCATTTCATGCACTGTTGCCACCATTACATCAACTATTATAGTAATGTAAGTACATCAGCAGCCGTATTTTTATAGAATTGATCAACCCACCCGCAGGGTCTCGCTCTGTGGTGAGTTCAATGGTCAACGCGAACGCACACCGCTCGCGCAGCCCAGAACATCCCACATAATCGCGCGACATCAACAACAATGGCAAACCGTAGTCTGTTTTGGTAGGAGATTTCTGATTGGAGCAAGACGGTCCGAAAGCTTAGTCGCTTATTCGCTTCTTAGTCCCCTTTTTATTGACTAGTTTAATATTAAGACGAGAGTGTTCGTGTGCTGTTATATTTTTCGTATTCAAATTTTTTTTTTTCGAAAATGTGCGAGGCGCAGTTGGCAAGCTCACACAGTCTGTGCATGTGTGTCTTTGCTGCTTTTCTGCTGGGCTACAGCTACTAACCTAGCTGCATTTGAGTCGGTGGTTAGCTAACGTTAGCCTCGCAGCGTTTATTGACTTGAGAGGGAAATAGAAGCGAGTGTAAAAGTGTTTGTGCGATTTGTTTTATGATAAGTGCGTCAAACTATTTGCTAATTGTCGCTGTCGGATACAGTAAGAAGTGTTTTATGATTTGTCTTAGAAAATACTTCGCTGGCTAGCTAACAGGCTAGCTGTTTGTGTGTATTCTTCGACTGAGGAAAACGGCGAGTTTTCTTTGAAAGTATGGATGACCAGACCAGGATGATGACGGGTCTCACCGGACTCGGTGGAATACCACAACCCGATGTCGGTGACCCAGATTCGGTCAGGAAACAGCAGTCCCTCGGTCAGCCTCAACAAGATATAGGGGATATCCTACAGCAAATAATGGCCATCACCGACGAAAGCCTGGACGAAGCACAGGCCAGGTAAGACAGACGAAGAGCCACTTTCCACTCACGATATCTAAGCTGAAGTGCGTTGTATGAGCCATATTTTTGCACAAGGGCTTAAGTGTTTCTCTGAAACGTTCACGTAATGGAATGCCTAAATACACCATTATTGCAACTTCACGTTTTATTGTAAATCGCTGCTAAGCCAATAACGTTACGTTTAGTTTAGTTCACTTGAACAGCTACAGTACAGTGATGTAGTTTGAAAGGGAGGTTTGTTTGAAGGAAGGATTCTTTGTTGCTTCAGATCGTGCGTTATTTTAAACTGTAATTGTACACATGCTCACTTGGTCGAAATACGGTGATAACATTTTTTTTTTGTCAATGAAATGTCAACAAAAAATGTAAACTCATTATAGAGTCCGTGACAAATGCTAGCCGTGTGAAATGTACATAACGACTTCCTTAACACTAGTTGTGTTAGCGTTGCATGGTTCTTTTGGCTTGACAGAGTATTACTTTCATTTACTCTTGCAAAAATAAAACACTTGTACATCTTTGAAGACAGTTTTTGGTTGTAAGTTGTCTTCCTATTTGCTTGTAGAACAACTATCAAGAAGTATATCAACATTATACGAAATACTTTTTAAGAAAGTGTGCATTTTGCAAGTTGCAAGTGTCAGTGCTGTGTAAGTGAAATAAGGTTCTCTGTGTTGCCATAACCTTTATATATTACTAGTCAGACTATGCCAAATTAGGTTTGCCTAATTATAATAACATGTATTTAAAATGTCAGAGGAGTGTGGATAACATTTGTAATGCAGATGAGTAGATACATTTAAGATAAGGATGAGTATTACTCAGTTGTCCCATGTACCAGCCCAACACTGTCAGTGTTGACAGCAGTCATTCATTCATATCACTCATCACTTAATGTTTGTGGTAGAGGTGTTTTTACATATCATTGTAGTAGGGAGTATGCACTACAGTGAGCGAGTGACCCTGCACTCATTTGCCATGTGGCTTAAGGTCAGTTTCAGATGAAGCTTCAGTATTTCAACAATAGACAACCATCCACTGCAAGACTGTGGCCACAGTGTGATGTGTCATTAGCTAGTGATTTTCCACCCAACATTTGACCACCTGGTTCTCTTAATTAATTCACTCCTCTTTCACTCCCTCCCTCCCTGGTGTTCATCCTTTTCATTGTGTGCTGAGTGCAATCAATTCTCCTATAATGTGTATGCGAGTGCAGCTGTCCGCAAATCGAGTTTCTATTAATGAGATGGTGGTGAGGGGCAGAGATGATGCTATACCGCAGCCTATGAACACTGGGATATTGCCTTTTTCCTTCAGTGCAAGTTTGAGGACTTAATCAGGTCTTGTTTCAGGGACAAATACAAATATTTTTGCTGTGGGATATTTTTTTTGTAGTTCATTATTTTTGTTGACCCAGTTTTTTCTTTACCTTGTGACTTGTGCCTACCATTTACAAAAGGTTGTACAGTGGTTAATTGAATAATAATATAAATAACTTCAATATAATTGTCTATGTATAGTTTAGGAAATCATATGGCATGCCTATAATTTGAAGTTAACTCACTATTCTGAAAGGCTAGTTAAAGGTGTGGCTGTTTCTGAAGTTCCAGAGGTGTCCTTGCTGTATTCATGCATTGATCTAAACTCCCACTCAGAACATGCATTCTGTAAGGTATATGTGTGCAGGATTAGTACTAACAAGAATGCAGCCTTCTCTTATTCAGTGGACTTGATACAAATTGCACGTGCAGCTTAAATCCTTGATGCTGCCATGTGCATAGTGCATATATACAGCATAATCAATAAAGGTGATTTTGATGATCATATTGCACTCAAGCGTGTATATTAGCTGACAGACTAGTTAGTACCAAGTCTGCAATTGGTTGGCTGTTTGCTAATTTGCTTTTCACTCTAAATAAAATGCCAAAACATGTCCAGATCCAAGACAGCATGCACGCAGCCTCTTGTTGCAGACATGTTTACTAATACACAGCAGTTGGTATGGCTTAAAATATGCATATTTTATCAACATAGTACATAACTCTGATCAGGCTTGTCACCAACATATCAGTCTTCCCCCTGATCATGAGTTACATATTAATATGTTAGGTGGCCCACGTGAGCATGACGCCCTTGTCGTGCAGGGTGGCAGTGTGTTGGGATGGGGAGTGGCCAGGGCAGCGCAAGAACTCTGTGTTGTAGAATACACTTCCTGCGCACCATCCACCCTCATCCTCTCACCCTGTCGCCATATGTTCAGATGCTGGCCAGAGGAATCCCCGGCGCATTGGGGTGGATCAGACGAACCCACAGAGGGAGGGAGAGCAGGGGGAGGGATGGCAG